AGAGATATAATATAATATATATATATATATATATATATATATATATATATATATGTATGTATATGTATATGTGTGTATATTAAATTTTTCTAAACTTGGATATTTCCAGCTGGCTGCAAGGTGTGTTTTCTGGGTCTTGTGCAGTCCTTCAGTCACTACAGTGCTGTCAGTCAGAGGCTGGTAAGTTTACATCAACTTGCTCTATTTAGACAGTTTTTTTATTTTTTTATTAGACATTTTGTTGATGAAATTTAAATTTCTTGATCGTAATGTTTTTGTGCAGGGAGTGAGTCTGGCACAGGCAAGAGAGAAGGGTCAGCTCGTGTTTCTTGAAGGACTGAAGGATTCTGTTGGAGTTTTATTACAGGAGGACACCAGTCAGGAGACACAACCTTTGAGTTATGTCAGGCACGTATAGTATGTTATGAAAATATAGTTTAAATACATTTTATCTCTATTCCTCCTCCTTATAATGTTATGACAGATATATAAGGAACAAAATGTGCTTTGCCATTTTTTAGTTTTTTGTTTGTTTGCTTTGTTTTTCTAGGTCCCCAGGTGCTGGACTGGAAGGTCTGTTCAGATTTGTGGAATGTTCTATGCGTCAGAGTGGAGATGGTGATGCTGGTGAATCATGGGGTCCTCCAGTGTTACTCATAGATGATCTCAGTGTGCTCCTGAGTTTAGGTGTTAGTGTTGGAGCAATACTAGACTTTACCCTCTACTGCCAAGCCACCATGTGCTCTGAGTTGCAGGTGAGTCAGTGTTTTTGCGTCAGTGCCTGAAATAATGCCAGATGCAGTTGGTTTCACACTGTATTATGATATATTAACTATAAATGTCTGTTGATATCCAGGGAAATATGGTAATTCTGGTGAGATGTGAGGAGGAGGATGCAGATGATGTTGATGAAGAGGGATCAAACCTGCTTCAGAGGGGACTAGTTCATCAGTGTAACTTGGCTTTACATGTAGAGGGGTTACCCACGGGCTACTGCAGGGACATACATGGGCAGGTGCGATTTCATATTTAAGTTTACGCTTACTCTGTATAATGGCTCTGAATTAAGTTGACATTTTTGGGGGTTTTTTTTAGATGGAGGTTTGGTGGAGACAGAGAGGAGAGAACATCTACAACCAACGAAAAATATTTCACTTTAAAGTTCACGATAAAGGAGCATCGTTTTTTGCTCGAGGGACTTCTAGTGCTGTTCTCTAAGTTTTCAAATGAATATATAAGTTTTCACATTGAATCTCTTACTGAACTAATGTCATTATTTAGTTTGTTATATATAAATACATATATTTAATACATCACCAGTTGCCGTTGATTTGTTCACTTGTTTGCATTACTTGCTGAGATAACTTAGTGTACAAATATAATGGGTGCTTGTAAACGTACCAACATGTATACATGTACATCAAGAGCTGGAACAATGATGCTAGTTGATGTCATTGTTTAAAGAGACACAAAAACAAAGAAGAGCTCAAGGAAAATCCATACTTATAAATAATATTTGATTTCTCACTGAATGTGAGCTAAAATACAATTTCACCATACGTTTGAAGACAAATGCACAAGTTTTTATTCTTCTCCTTTGAGGAGACCATGAGAATCTTAAGACATGTTGATGCCAGATGATAGTTTCTTAAAGGTACATTATGAGATTCTCTGTAGATTAATCAGTGGTATATTTGTAAATGACCTTGAAATATATACATTAAGAATATATTTGTAGATTGTAGAAGAATTAACAGTATCCTGTTATGTAAAGTTGTCACAGAGGGCGCTGTGGTGCTTTTTTTTTTGTTTGGAACAAGCCAGTATTGTGATTAAAACACTCCCTTTATGTGATCCATTATGATTCATTTTCGCAAATCGGTTCCTTTGAACAGTTCGGTTCGTGGCTCATTACGAATCGGACATGTTATATGGTTCTACTCTGGTTTACCCGTACGGATCAAGTATACCAAAGTGTCTCAGTATACCCGGCTGCAGCCTGCAGATCACACAGCCCCGCCCCATACCTACTCTGATTGGTTCGATCGTCTTTCATAGGCATACTTGATAGGAAATGTGTGCGTAGTTGGTGTAGGATGGAGTATATTGTTTAAAAAGCTAAAAATGCTGTGTAGTTTTAGCCTTCATTATAATGCACAGTTGTTTATTGTAAACTTGACTCACTATGTGTGTTTCATTGAATCACGAGATGTTAGCTGCTGCAAGTTTATCTTCTGGAGAGATTCGGATTCGTGAACGAATCATTTAGATGTTTTTCTAACAGGTTCAACTCATTCCTTGAAAAGATTCGACTCAAAAAAAAAAAAAACGATTAATTCATGAATCGGACTTCGCTAGTGTAACGTTAGCCTACCAAATCGTCTCTCGACTCGGATTGTGTTTCCTGCAGTGAGTGAAAAGCAAAGAGTTATGCAACACGCAATCAACTGGACAATTATTATTATTATTACTTATTATGTTAATCCGTCTTTAGCGTTTTTGGAGTGACCGCGGAAATTAATTAAGATAGAATTTTCATATATATATGTGTGTGTGTGTGTATAACAGTCGTTAGTAATAGTAGAATGTAAATAAGGAGAATATTGTTAAAGCGCGTGTTTTTTTGGACTGGACTGAGCTTGATATTAGACTCCTGCACGGCACCCATCAACCAGCTGACGAACATCTAGGTTTTATTAGACCTGTCAGTTCTTATCATGGGCAGTTTATATCTCTCAAGAGGTCGGTGTATTCTCCGGCAGGTATTCTTTGGCTTACCCAGCATGCTGCAGCGGCCGTACAGCCTCGATGTGTCAGCGCAGCTCCTGCGGACTCAAGCCTTCATAGATGGGCGCTGGGTCTCCGCTGCATCCACGTTCCCCGTGTTAGACCCAGCCACGGGAGAAGAGATCGCGAAGGTGTCAGACTGCGGTACAATGGAAGCTCAAGACGCTGTCAATGCTGCATGCAAAGCGTTTCACCTGTGGAAGAATCACACAGCCAAGGTGAGATGAGGGGAATGTTTTTAATGTGCATGACTGTTATTCATATCTCCATGCATTAGATCTAATTCTTAACTGGATTGTACTAAGCATATTTACAATATGCCATATATTTACAACAGTTTCAAAAACGTTCTGGGGTGGTACATCTGATATCGGATGGTATGCCATAGTGCTTTGATTTGTATACCAGGGTATTTACATGGCACTCAAAGGTACTTGAGCAAAATCTTAGTATTACATTCTTATGACTATACCTAAAGTTCTACAATCGATCACTTTTTAGTATATATATTTTTTTCCTGAAATAAACAAAATTCTGTATGTTTTGTAATTTAAGTCAATTTACATAGTGCTGTGTTTTACATTGTGAACATTGTTGTTTCCCCTCTCAATTATCATTAATGTAATGTGAAAAAATAACAATTTTAACCAATTACAATTCATTACAATTTGAATAAAATAGTAAGTATTCAAGATAAATTAACTGAAATAAAATGATAAACAAATACTTATATAAATATTTATTTAAATGATGAAGTATTTATTCCTCATGTTCAGAAGTTCTGATATACAAATTGATGCATGCTCTTTGCAGGAAAAGCATTTCTTTACAGAAATGGTTTGATCTGAATAATAATTTTATTTAGCAAGGATGCATTAAATAAATAAAAAATGACAAAAATGCTTTGAAGTTACAAAAAAAACGATTTAAAATAAATACTGTTCTTTTGAACGTTCTATTCGTCAAATAATCCTGAAAAAATTGTTTTTCACAAAAATATTAAGGGGTACAACTGTTTATGAAATTACAATGCAATGAAATTTAAAATTGTAATTATTTAAATGAAAGTATTTCATCATTATGTTCAGAAGTTCTGATATATATATATATATATATATATATATATATATTAATACATGCTCTTTTGCAGGAAAGAAGCATTTTATTACGAAAATGGTTTGATCTGATCAATCAGCACAAGGAAGATCTTGCCAAGTTGATCACAGCAGAGTGTGTAGGTATTCTGACCCATTACATACAGTATACAACATCTAATGTTTCTGTTTACAAGTATTTAGATATTAGAATTGGTTATAACTCAAATGTGTGTACAGGGGAAGCCCATGAAGGAGTCTATTGGTGAGATGACATACTCTGCCTCCTTCCTGGAGTGGTTTTCTGAAGAGGCCAGACGTGTGTATGGAGATATTGTTGCACCTTCAGCCAAGGACCGCAAAATCCTGTTACTCAAGCAGCCGGTGGGAGTGGCTTCCATCATTACACCTGTGAGACTTCCTCCTTCATTCTGATAACATAACACCGTCAGGCTATAGGGTCAATGAGCTAAAGTAAAACTGTCAGCTCCCAGTTATGATTTCAAATTTTCCCTTTTCACAGTGGAATTTCCCCAGTGCCATGATCACCAGGAAGGTGGGCGCAGCACTGGCGGTGGGCTGCACTGTGGTGGTGAAGCCGGCTGAGGATACGCCTCTCTCTGCTCTGGCTCTTGCTGAGGTCTGTCTGTTTCCATGAAAGCCTGCTTAACTTGACATTCTAGCAAGACCGGCAAACTCTGTAGATTAACTACCATTCAAAAGTGTATAGTCAGTAAGATTTTTATTTTTTGAAAGAAATAATTAATCTGGGATTCATCAAATTAATTAAAAGTGACAAATACTTTTACATTGTTACAAAACAAAAATCTGCACAACTGATTTCAACATTGATAATTTTAAGAAATGTTTCTTGAGCACCAAATCAGCATATTAGAAAAATGATTTCTGAAGGATCATGTCACACTAAAGAGTGGAGTAATGATGCTGAAAATTCAGCTTTAATTAGGAATAAATTACATTTACATTTAAAGGGGTCATATGATGTTGCTAAAAAGAACATTATTTTGTGTATTTGGTGTAATGAAATGTGTTTATGCGGTTTAAGGTTCAAAAAACATTATTTTCCACA